AAGCCTTGATGCCCTTCCCTTTGCCAAGTCGTTTGCCCACAAATAACTTAGGTGCCAGCCCGCACACCTAAGTCATGGTAACATCACATTGTCAATGTCAATGCCTTGGCACTAAGCTGCCTCACTTTAGCGCCGAGGTCTTTCCCGTTTAGCCTTGTCAAGCTCCCATCCAGCCCGCCTAGTTCCGTCAAGGTCTTGGCCTTGCTTGTACGCAGCCCACTCTTGCTTTGGTGTAGTCCGTCACACCTTAGCCCTCAAATACAAGTGTAGTCCGTCTCACTTGCCTTAGCAACAGTTTGTTGCCATTAACAACACCCCCGCATTGTCTTGCATGTTGATTTTCCCTCGCACATAGGCCAATGACAAGGCCATCATGCCAAAACCCTCGCCATTGCCGTGCCGCTTGTCGATCAGCTGATCAGCTTTGTCAGGGGTCTAACAGTTGTCATCTCTAGCTGTAGAAGTCCAGTTAGCCCTTATATTTTTGACTCTGCGGAGTTTATCCTTTCTGGGATTTGACTGGTTACAGTTGAAAATATGCAACAGCTATATTTTTGGCCATGCTTAAAGCAGACAGCTATATTTTTGGCCACTCAATAGGCAAGTACTTTCGGTTAAATGTCGGTTTTGGCCATGCTTAAAGCAGACAGCTATATTTTTGTGTGGTTCCCACACTAGCCCACTGTTTTCATGAATTGTTAAATATCTGTGGACCATTGCTCGTAACCACGAAAATGATTTTACGTAGTATAAATCTTAGCGGCAGCTATTATAGTGAACCAATTTACGACAACATAACATCTATTAATGTCCATTTATTAGTTATCCTTAGGATAACTACTTGGCGATTGCAGCCATTTGGCCCATGTATTTGGATTTTGCGTTGAAACATTTTTTGCGGATACAATTAAGTGTTAAGAATTTAAGATAGATCTAAGCTAGATATATTTGCCACGTGAAACATAATATGACCAATTGCCACATGAAAACATAAAGTATAACAATGACCTTTGGTTTCTTTTCATTTCCTTTCATAACGATCTCTTCCCTTTACTCGAAAAGTTATTGCCTTTATGTAATAATTAATTAATCAGCTACTGAAATTAATATCAATGACCTAGTAAACTTTTTGATATAATGCTTTGGACTGGTGTTGTTATATATTTTGTTTTTTGGTCATCGGTGTTGTTATAAATTAATTCTTTAGGTTACATATGATTGAGTCCTCTGTTTGGCAAAACTTTTTATCTTACTCTGATATGCCACTAAGAAATGGTACTTTAAAAGTTCAATTTTCTTTTGGAGTAATTTTTATTTGAAACTGTGTTTGCGACCAGATTTTTTGCCCCTGGACTTTTCTCCGTTGAGACAATACGTTGAAGTATGCGATACCAAGCATTACATATAGAGATATAACGGCTTTCCATGCGGCCTACAGTATGGAGTGTTTATGGACGGATTAATGTGCAAAACCCACGAAGAAAATTGTATCATTTTGCAATACTGTCCATGGGACATGACCTATGAATTGTATCATTTTGCAATGCTGTCCATGGGACATGGCCTCCTTTCATAGGCCATGTCAATCACATTTTGCAACAATGAACATCAACGGAGAAAGAAAATTTGGGAGAAAGTATTTCCTATAGACCAATGAATATCTTCAACTCTTTGCCGAATACTACTAAACTATGTTTCACTTTGGCTCGTGTTATGTGTGATGAGAGCATTAGCATGTTAATCCAAGGATCCTGCTGTCTATGCATAAATAATAAATATCACCAAGGCTTAGGGGCTAGAAGAACAGCACAAGAAGATGTATGCAGCCAGCAGCAACCGTCCATGTGATTAGGCTTCTTTTAACCCAGACTACATCCAAGGTATAGAATCCAGTGAAGAAAACAGCATATACATTCTACGAAAGCCTGTCAGAAATTCTTCAACAGAACCGGACAAGCGTTAACTGAGATAAGTTCAGCATTGAACATGCTCGTTAGATAGAAATCATCACTATTCACAGTTACAAGACCAAAAATAGCACCACCAACCTTAGGAGGGTAGTGGAATCCGTAAACGTGATAACGCGATGTTTGTAAGAATCCCAACAGACATTAACCATAACAAGGTTCTCATAAATTGTTTAACAGAACCATGAGTTCAAAACTTGTCAGCTAAATAGGATAGAGGTCATCAATTGGTGTCTACCGCCACCACTGGTTTTTCTAGCCTCCTGTTCGCTCAACTAGTCAAGCTAATTCTTTTTTCAAGTGCATCTTCCAAGTCAAATATTCAAAACAATCTTAACAAAGCATAAGATCTACATGGAAAGATTTGAGATATTGGCTCGTGTTGTCTCAAACCCTTGTATCTATTTCCACTATACCCCAATAAGTTCTTTAACAGTGAATCAGCTCCTAACACTATATCAGTCAGTACACTTTGTTTCTGGGTTTTGGGGGGGGGGAGGACATTTTATATGATAAAAGGTATACTAATAAGCAGTTGCCTTTTTGTTAATCAACCCAAGTTAGAACATACCGAAGTAACTTTCAATCATGAGGTTTCCAGTTTACAAAGACTTGAATAACAAGCTTTTGCAGAAGCAGATCAACAATATGCCAGCAAGTGTCTCACATCTTCTTTTGATTCACAAGATTAAGACCTGTCAGTGACATGAATTTCTAGCAAATAGTAAAAACAATTTTCTACCATTATGCTTCTTCATATCCAGAGACGGGTCCAAAATTTAAACTCTATGCGTTCATCTTTTAAGATTTTGAGCATTGAACTCATTATATTTTTTTGAAGTTATGGGTTCATATTTACTATTTCTGCAATTTTAATGAATTTTTACTCCGCGTCGAAACTTATGGGTTCAGTTGAACCTGTTATTAATACAATACATACGCCCGGTTCATATCCACACAATGCAGCAACATAAATTAGGTGATATCCTTTTTTTGTTGATAGCAAAGTTAATGGATCTCCTTCCACCTCCTCTCTCCTCTTTTACCTTTACTCTAATTTTTTCTCAAACTCAAAGTACGAATTCAAGACTCCAATAACCAAATTCCCTTGCAGCCTTTTATAACCCACAGAGTACAAGAATATCAGAATCACCTTGTCATTCAACAGCATAGATCAGCAGCTCTAAAAACTTCCGCAATCTGAAGTAACTGTGAATTAACATTATTAAATAATCACAGTAGACAATTAAATGTTAAACCGAGAGTCTTCCCATAATATAATTATGTAAGAAATTAAAGGACAACAAAACTACCATAGCTCAGAGACAAGGTCCCTCCTCCCAACAGAAAATCACTCCACAAGCACTACAAGAAAAAAGGAAACCAACTATCCATGCATGGCAGTAAATCTGAAAACAGAAATCCTGATGCTGATGCAACATGCTAACCAAGCTATCCTCCATAGGACATATATGGGACAAGTAAATTGCAGTATTGACAGGTAGAAGGTGCTGAAAAATGGGGTAATAAGATTGCACAAGAACAAGAGGAATAGTTCTAAACTGCAACTGACTCCACTTGAGAAAAGGGAAGGGGTTGTCCACAGACTCTCTCCTGATTTCTCGTTTCTCTCTTAGTTAAAATTGGGAAAAATCTTTTGGAGTCTACATGGCTATAAATAATTCCCAAACATAGTAACTGAACAGAAGCCTCTTATTGGTTGTAAATCATGTGATAATTTATATTCAGTTCGAGGAAGACCTTGATTAAGGATAATCGCTTGACAGTCATTGACAAACTTAATCACTACCACCTTACCCAGAACTTTTTTTTAATAAGTAATTAAAGATTTTATAAATTTATGCACTAAGCCATTGCATCAGGCATAATTACAGGTTGTGCAAACCCTCTATTGTGCCCATGCACTCACCCAGCACCATTAGCACCATTTGTTTTCAACTCCAACCAATATGTCACAACAGCACAAAAGTTCTCAATGTACAACATTATCTCCTTGCATATGCTCGCTTTCCCATAGCTCAACAAAAAGCAGAGGGGGAAAATCAGAACTAACCTGGAAACTACTAGCTAATGCCCACATATGCAAGCTTCAAAATTATATCTTTCTTATACCTGGAGCAAAACAATGAGCATTCGCACAGAAATGACACCATTGACAAATCTAAACATGTCCACATTGACACTAATAGCAGCAAAAAGGATGGAAGAAAAAAGAAGTATTAAGCCAAAATAAGGTGGATATCATAAATAACCACAAACCTTTTTACCAAAAGTATACATTGGAAGTGTGGCATCATACAGCACACACAAGTAATACATATCTATCTTTTTTCATATTTTAATTTTTAATTTTTTTTCTTCAATGGGTATTGTTCTGCCCATTCTCAACACCTAGACCATACAAGACACCTGCATACTTCTCCAGTGAACAACTGAAGAAGTTTTCTTTCAACTTCCTAAAGGTACAAGCTGTGAGCAAGCTATCTGAACCCGCTTGATGACAAACACCAACCCTCTCAACCTCCAAGAGCTCCGCGAGTTTGTTCAATCCACCATGAAGGCTATTACAGAACTTCATCAAGTGCTTGATGTCGAAAATGACAGGAAAGTACACATTCATCAAGGTAAAGAAATCCGCCTGTGTATCAGGCAAATCCTGGCAAGTCAACAGATTCAACAGGTACCCGAAATCATAGCCACTATGAAAAGTAACCCAATACACATTATCATTCAGCACAATCCCTGACGACATCAAGAGCTCCCCAAAGCGCTTGGCATCAATACCCTTTTCAATGTTCTTGGTAAAATCAATGCCACTCTGGCGCAACAACTCAATCGAATCATTGGCGAAAACATCCTCGTTAGGGTTGAATTCGCGGAAATTGAATTGCCAAATGCAGTACTTGTCTGTCCCACACTTGGGCAAGTTGCCCTTTTCATCCGAAAATGTCAGCCCTAACTGAATCAATTTCAACATATCCACGTTATCCTTTAGGGTTTGGTAATGATAATCGTAACTATTCTTAAAATTCCCGACCGGCCGGATTACGACACCGGGAAACTCCGTATCCATTGCAATGTACGGAAATTCATCGACAACTTCGCGGATTAACGCGAATTCTTCCTCCAGATTGTCAATCCAAACCTCTCGGATGAGAATCGACTCGGTTTTTGGCAAAATCGACATTTTCGCCGAAGATTTTACTTTCAGTCAAATGATAAATTAACCCTCACCACTTCCGACCATACAATCGCCGGAATAAAAACGGATTCCTTTGAAACTCTCAAACCAAAATCAGATCTGCAAGAAACAAAGTGAAAATTAACTAAATTAGCCCACCGCGAAAATAAATTTTCACATAAAAAAACGATTTTAATAAAATAATAATTACCTTTCAATAAATAAAGATTCAAACTTTCAACCATGAATCGATGATAGAAAATGAGACAACAACACCGAAATATATACAAATAAATTATGTGTGTGGAGAGAGAGCGATTTGTAAGATTAGGGTTTGAACAGGAACAATATGAGGCGGCGAAGAGAAATAAGAATTTGAAATTTTAGGGCAAAATCGAAGTGTTTTTTTATTTTTTTGGAGTTTTTCTTTTTTTATTTTTTTTGGATTTTTCTTATTCTAGAGTCTAGAGGGAGAAAAAGAGATGAGCCTTTGGGGCGAACGAGAGTGGGGCCCTCCCTTCTTGTCCACCTCCTCACTACTCCAAAAACAAACAAATAGTATATAAATGTTTTCAAGAACTAAATATTTTGGATTTTTCTATATTGGAATATTCTGTGGGAATAAAATATTGGAGGAACTTTGTTTGTTACGGTAATAACAGGGGGACAACTTATTGGTTGGCTGCATTTATGGTTTTTTTTTTTTTTCCTCGTACATATATATTTTTAAGGGTTTTTGGTTTTTCTTTTTTTCTTTTATTTTTTGGGCTTTTGATTCTTTTGGGGTTTTTGAGGGATGAAGAGTATGAAATATGATATTATGTAGAAGGAAGAGAAAAGAGTGAAATGTGGGCATTTACTAAAAATAAACACACATACTAATAATAACCACACGTCTTAAACGCTGTAGTAGAAAGAGAAAATAAACTCTTTTAATTTTACCTAAAAAATAATTGGAAATATTATTACATGTCTTAAACGTTGTGTATACAATTTTATTTATTATACACTTAAAGCACCCACAATTTTTTGGCTATAAAAGTTTTAGAATACTTAGGAAGACTAGTCAATTTGTAAAGCTAATTATAGAAGGGGATTTTCGTGAAAACGTCTTTCTTCCAATAAAGTAGTGTGCGCTTGCTCTTCCTCTTTATACGTCATAATGACGAACAAAACTTTATAATCCAAAAGTCATTAAAGAGAAAGATTAAAAAGTAGTAAAAGAAAGGTTGCAATTAAGGGTGTGGCCTAGTAGGTCTCATGTTAAAATAGTGATTTTCTTCCCAATTTGTTAAAAATTTGATTAATAGAGTTACTCGAGGACGGACGTGTGACACCGCTTGGGCGGAAAATTTT